AGCCCGAGTACTGGAGAATCACTCCCAGCTCACGCACCACCTAGAAAACAGACACCACATTCTAGATACAGTGCTGAAACAACTACTGGAGCCGGAGCACATAACAGGTGCCTATAGCATCAGCCGAAGAACTGATGGGTGGATAGCCGGCGTGGGAGGTCTGGGGCTCCCCCTTCCCCCTCCCGGGGAAGGGGGAGCTGCGCAGACAGCGGCGCGGTGACGTATGACATCATATTCGTTTCCTAGTTTTCTGTTGAAGAGTTCTATCCACTAGTTCGGCTTTAGGTAGCAATTTTCACCAGAATAGGGGTTTGTTTTGGAATGCTTACCTTTCTGGATGCTTGACCCGGTCGATGGCAAACATAGAATGCTTCCTACCAACCAGATACAATAAGGGAACCAGATACAATAAGAATTCCAGAGAACAACATAGAACACATAGAGGTGTCTAGAGACGAAGTGGAAAAAATGCTCAAGGAGCTCGGTAAGAACAAAGCAGCTGGCCCAGATGGCGTTTCACCATGGGTTCTGAGAGAATGTGCATCTGAGCTCAGCATTCCACTTCACCTGATCTTTCAGGCATCCCTGTGTACAGGAATCGTAGCAGACGGGTGGAAACAGGCTAACATAGTTCCAATCTACAAAAGTGGCAGCAGGGAAGACCCCCTCAATTATAGACCTGTATCATTGACAAGTGTAATAGTGAAAGTATTGGAAAAACTAATCAAAACTAAATGGGTAGAACACCTAGAGAGAAATGATATAATATCAGACAGACAGTATGGTTTTCGATCTGGAAGATCCTGTGTATCGAATTTACTCAGTTTCTATGATCGAGCCACAGAGATATTACAGGAAAGAGATGGTTGGGTTGACTGCATCTATCTGGACCTAAAAAAGGCTTTCGACAGAGTTCCACATAAGAGGTTGTTCTGGAAACTGGAAAATATTGGAGGGGTGACAGGTAAGCTTCTATCATGGATGAAAAATTTTCTGACTGATAGAAAAATGAGGGCAGTAATCAGAGGCAATGTATCAGAATGGAGAAATGTCACAAGTGGAGTACCACAGGGTTCAGTTCTTGCACCAGTGATGTTTATTGTGTACATAAATGATCTACCAGTTGGTATACAGAATTATATGAACATGTTTGCTGATGATGCTAAGATAATAGGAAGGATAAGAAATTTAGATGACTGTCATGCCCTTCAAAAAGACCTGGACAAAATAAGTATATGGAGCACCACTTGGCAAATGGAATTTAATGTTAATAAATGTCATGTTATGGAATGTGGAATAGGAGAACATAGACCCCACACAACCTATATATTATGTGAGAAATCTTTAAAGAATTCTGATAAAGAAAGAGATCTAGGAGTGGTTCTAGATAGAAAACTATCACCTGAGGACCACATAAAGAATATTGTGCAAGGAGCCTATGCTATGCTTTCTAACTTCAGAATTGCATTTAAATACATGGATGGCGATATACTAAAGAAATTGTTCATGACTTTTGTTAGGCCAAAGCTAGAATATGCAGCTGTTGTGTGGTGCCCATATCTTAAGAAGCACATCAACAAACTGGAAAAGGTGCAAAGACATGCTACTAAGTGGCTCCCAGAACTGAAGGGCAAGAGCTACGAGGAGAGGTTAGAAGCATTAAATATGCCAAAACTAGAAGACAGAAGAAAAAGAGGTGATATGATCACTACATACAAAATAGTAACAGGAATTGACAAAATCGACAGGGAAGACTTCCTGAGACCTGGAACTTCAAGAACAAGAGGTCATAGATTTAAACTAGCTAAACACAGATGCCGAAGAAATATAAGAAAATTCACCTTCGCAAATAGAGTGGTAGACGGTTGGAACAAGTTATGTGAGAAGGTGGTGGAGGCCAAGACCGTCAGTAGTTTCAAAGCGTTATATGACAAAGAGTGCTGGGAAGACGGGACACCACGAGCGTAGCTCTCATCCTGTAACTACACTTAGGTAATTACACTTAGGTAATTACCACACGGGGGTTTCTATAGGCCATTGCTCCCCTTGCCTCTCTGAGGGGGCCAGGTTCTGGCCATGGTCCCCGGTAGGCCCTAGAACTCCATACACATGACTGATGCCAAAGTCTGACATTAGCATATCAGCCGGTAAAGGTCCGTGGAGCCGACAGGGCTCCCCCCAGAAAAACATTGTATTCAGTATAAAATGTATTTGCATGTTAATATTTTGGATGGTGGGGAACGGATTAATTCAATTCCCTTTAATTCTTATGGGAAAAATCGCTTCAAATTACGATCCGTCTCTGGGAACGGATTAGCATCGTAAGTCGAGGCCCCATTGTAAACAGTAAGTAGCAATTATCATCAAACTGAAGAAAACATACCCAACAAATTAAAATTCATCCCAAAATTTATAAGAATACTGTAGTTACATTATTAAAATTGTGCTGAAAATAATACAAGGATTTGTTGATTTTAGTCGTCGAGATGTAAGTCTCGTCCTAACCACATACTTAGACCTTGACAAAGCACTCAGGGGAATGCAAAAGACTTGTTGTAAACCTTTACATAAATTTCACAAATACATAAGCTTGGCTTTTTATCCTATGTTATTATATCTTTGAGAAGACATTATCTTTACTTAACCCTAAAACTGCGCATGGCGTATATATACACCATGAGTAACATGTCCCACTGTGCGCATGGCGTACATATACACCATAGGGTGCCAGGCACAATTCAAATGGCCCACGGCTACATGGGGTTCACATTAGCTTCCTCAGGGCTCTTGTAAACAGACACCATTTTTTTTTTAAATCGTAGGCAATATTCTCAGGTGTGAGAGGCACAGTACTGCTGGAGCAACCAAAGCTGGTGTATGCAGCATGAGCAAACAGCATTGCTGTTCAGCTTGTGAACACAGCATCCCCGAAAAATGTCAAAATAAATATATAATTGCTATTATTTAGTGATGACAGTATTACAGATGGCCCCTGACTGTGATATAAATAACCAAGGTTGTGATAATAGCAGGATTGTTGCAATAATTAGCGCTGTGGGAGGAGTGATGCTGAGGGACGGAGGGAGATTGCATCTTTTACTGACTGTGTAATTACATAAGTGTAGTTACAGGATGAGAGCTTCGCTTGTGGTGTCCCGTCTTCCCAGCACTCTTTGTCATATAACGCTTTGAAACTACTGACGGTCTTGGCCTCCACCACCTTCTCACCTAACTTGTTCCAACCGTCTACCACTCTGTTTGCGAAAGTGAATTTTCTTATATTTTTTCGGCATCTGTGTTTAGCTAGTTTAAATCTATCACCTCTTGTTCTTAAAGTTCCAGGTCTCAGGAAATCCTCCCTATCGATTTTATCAATTCCTGTTACTATTTTGTATGTAGTGATCATATCACCTCTTTTTCTTCTGTCTTCTAGTTTTGGCATATTTAATGCCTCTAACCTCACATAACATAAGGGGCATAACTGGCCGACCCCTCACAGTGTTCAAGAGAGAACTGGATAAGCACCTCCAAGGGATACCTGATCAACCAGGCTGTGACTCATACGTCAGGCTGCGAGCAGCCGCGTCCAACAGCCTGGTTGATCAGTCCGGCAACCAGGAGGCCTGGTCGACGACCGGGCCGCGGGGACGCTAAGCCCCGGAAGCACCTCAAGGTAACCTGAAGGTAACCTCTCCTCGTAGCTCTTGCCTTTCAGTTCTGGAAACCGCTTAGTAGCATGTCTTTGCACCTTTTCCAGTTTATTGATGTGCTTCTTAAGATATGGGCACCACACAACCGCTGCATATTCTAGTAGTTGTGGTCACCTGTTATTGTTTGCATTCACCATACCCGCTCAGTGGTTCTCTATGGTGAACACAAATGTAGATACTTATATATAATGTGTGTATTAGTGTAATAACAGCAAAAGGATTATGCTGGGAGGAGCAATTTGGTTGACGGAGGTGACATCGTCTGCATGATTTGTCTGGCTGTGCAGAGGGTGGCTACTATGCTCTTTGGGCACTCTACAAGCTTAGGTGTACAGTTACGGTGCATACAACATGTAGATACTTATATATAATATGTGTATATAGTGTAATAACACTGCAAACAATATTGTTGGGGGAAAAAGTTTAGTGCGTGTGACCTTGAGTGAGTGAGGCAGCCACCAGCTGACTGTGTGTATAGCGACGACTCTTAGTGCCTGAACTAACTATAACAGCTTAGTTGTACAGTTGTGGTGAACAAAACATGTAGATTCTTATATATAGCGTCTGTATATTGTGAATAAAATATAAAACAGGATGGTGGGAGGAAAAAGTGGGCTAGCGAGGCGTTGTTGAGGGAGTGGCAGCGAGTGGCTGGCTGGTGTGTGGCGGTAACTCCTCGTTGCTTTTTGACTCTCAATACCAACTTAGTGGTTTGTTATGATGAACAAAACATGCAGATACTTATATAAACCTGTGTATAGAGTGTAATAGCAGCACAACTATTTGTTTATTGTTTTATAAACATAATAAATGAATCACTAATATGCACACCACACTTTTGAGTATAGCGATTATTCACCACTTTTATTATATAAATATATTACAATACACACTATTGAATAATGTTACTGCAAAAAAACTAAGAAAAAATCAATCGGAGACATTGAAACAATTAAGTGATAATATCTTTGTGGCAACTCCCACCTGTCAGCGCGGGTGACACTGACCGGCTCTGACGACCGCTCTGTCAACGCCCACTTTTTGCCAGACTTCCTCGGTCAATTGCGCCCAAAATATGTCACCTACGATTTTTTTTCCCCATGCTCAGGGAACACAAATTAACATTTTAAGAAGACGAAATAATTTTTTAGAATTTTTTTTTCTTGCGCACAGGGGTGTAAATGTCCTCAAGACCCCTGAGCAGTGGAAGGGTTAATACAAGGATTAATAGTTGCTAAGCAAAGGCATATTTAAGCAAAATGATAAGAAATGGTAACAATATACACTTACTTATTAGCTGAGGAAGTTCTTCATGTTTCATCTCATGGGCATCAGCCCCTCTCTTTTCACAAGCCCTGACAAATTCATTGCTGCCAGCTTCATCGTTGAATTTATCAGTGTTTATATCGTGGTTATCATCATCATCACACATTCTGAATAATGAGGAACTTTTAGGCTTAGTTTTTTCTAAACCATAACCAGCCATCCAAATTTTGTTTCCATGTCTAGGTCCTCTTCCTCTTGAAGATTTCCCTTTAAGTCCTTTGATGAATCCATTAATGCTACTTATTCCAGGAGATTCAAATGATTCTCCCAAAAAAATCTCATCATTTTCATCTGCTTCATAATCATTCTCACATTTTTCATCATCAGAGATAGATATATTTGTTGTTGATAACTCAACTTTGTAAAGATCAAGATAGCGACTGTTTGGTTTCCTTCGTCTGCCAAAACTACTGGCAGCAACGTGTGAAACGTGTGCTTCCTTTTCTGCCAATTCTGCATCTTTTTTTGTCTTCATCATTTCCTCCAGCTTTTTAAGTTTCATGTTCTTTACTTCCTGATCATGTTTGATGTTTTCTTCAACCCAGTAAGGTAGGTTTTCCATATACTGAACGATATGAAATGCAACATCTGCTTTAGTTCTGTGTCTATCATTCCCACTGCCATCTTGACATTTCATATCATGAAATACAGAATTGGTTTTCAATTTATAAACAATTCTAATGGCACCATCACATAGATTTGTATGACTCCCACGTTTCTTATTGAAACAAACTTCAATCATGTCTCCAAAAGAATCTTCCATTCCATTAGGATATAATACCTTAAGACCATCATGCTTGTGGTACGACATCCAACGGTGAACATCATATCGAGCAAACCGTGTTCCTGTAAGAGAAAGAGCACTTGAAAATTGAAAACTCATATGAATTCCAATATATTAATGTTTGGCTCAAGCATGATATATACTGTATACAGTACTTAAAATTTAATTCTCATTTTCAAGTTATATACAATGAGTTCATAATTAGTGATAAACATTATAACATCACCATTAAAGATGATAATTTTATGGAATTACTATCCTAAAGCATAAATAACTTCACTCTACAATTTGGCCTGGCCCCCCACCAATCCCCTTTGCACTGAAAAAAAACAGAGTTGAATGTAATGAAACGCCAGTTTCTGGGTGAACCCCGGAGGCTCCCTAAAGCTATCCATACCGATATGGTGCTACAGTACAGTACACAGTATTAGTTTAGGGTCATCAGTCACATAGCTTTTGTTGCTTACTGGATACCAGAGGCAGAACCTGGCCCCCCCTCAGAGTGATGCAGGGAGCAAAGGACAACAAAGGACACAAAGGAGGACAACACTGAAAACCCCTGCGACGTGTACAATCACAGGGGCCTAGCAGAGGGCCACCAAACACTACCAGTGGAACTATAGCCACACTAGGCAGACCCCCACCAGGCAAATGAAAATAAAAACAAAAGAAAAACCCCGCAAAAGTACACCGTCTCCAGAGGCAACAGGAACCGGTCGCCACTTAGGTGGCAGGTCGCGCAACACCTTGATGCCCTAACCAGCACAATACCAGTCCCTATCCAGGGCCAAACAAGGGCCCCAAGCCCCAGCTGGCCCCAAGGGCGAGGCAAATGCCGAGCAGCAGGAACCTGTACGGAAAGGTTCCCAAACGCCCCAGGGAAGATAACCCTGTCACGCAGGGGCATTCTCACAGGGCACTTAGGGAAGGAAGCCCCTAAGCGCATGCAGCCCTGGTATTGATGAGGAACACCTGACCACCGCACAACACAACACACGGCAGTGAACGCCACACAAGGCAAACACCGCCTAGGAAACTGAGGCCAGAGAAGCGTCTATCCCAGTTGACATTAGCTTACGAACTGATGCTAGGCAGCCGGCACTGTGAGCACCGTAATGAAGACAAGGAACGGCAAAACAGGAAGGAGAAGGAGAGACGATGTGAAAACAAAATAAGGCGAAAGACGACAAGGGGGCGGCAGGGAACCAACGAGCCCGAAAAAGGACTAGGAGGAAACCCCACTGGAAGGCAACAGACGGTCCAAGAATATTGGAATTTACGAAGAGGTCTGGGCACCAACGAGCATCATGACAAATAAGCACAAATGCACGGAGGCACAAACGGACAAAAAGATACCCCTGAACCAGGGACATGCACGGACCCCGATACAAAGGGAACAGTATCGCAATGGAAGCGCGAAAAGGATGAGGAAAACGTGGGTATAAATTGGTTCGGTAACTGGGTTGTCGATATGTGGAACCAAATACCGCGTAACGTAGTGGCAGGTTGGGTTCCCACAATTGTGTCAAATGAGGGAAGGACATGTACATGAGAAGGATTGGGTGGCTATAAATAGGAGCAGCCTCGTACGGGCCAATAGGCCTACGGCAGTCACCTTTGTTCGTACGCTCTTATGTCCTGAGAAAAGGGTGAAACACCCCCAGGAATGACAGAACCGACGGACACGAAGGAACACGGAACCGAACTCAGGGAGGGGTAGACCCGACCCAACAAGAACGCAGAGGGGGAAGGAAAATCCCCCACACAGAGGAACTGCAAGCCCCGCACCAAGGGTACAAAGACCCAAGCGGGGCAAAAACGGGGCCGAAGCCTCCCAGGCAACCCCTTCCCAATCCCAGGAACCCAGACAGCAGGACCCGGGGCTGAGCTGTACCCCCAAAGCCCCAGCCTCATAAGGAAAAGCCGGGCAGCCATGCAACACACTAAGGAAGGGAGCCCACTGGTCAGACCCATATGGCATGGCTGAAGGAACAGGCTCGAATGCCTCCACCGTCACACCGTTAGAGGAAAAAAATCCGAGACTGCCCGAGTCTCAACCCAACCAGACCCTGCTCCAACCCCGAAACCCGCCTACTGGTCAGAGCCGGAAGCAAGGCAGGAAGTATGCATAACAGAAGGGAAAGGACTAGGAGGAGCGGAAGGAACCAGAGCCGAAGAGACATCCACTCCCAAGTCCGGACCTCTTACCACCAAAACGGGGCAATCTTGGGGCATCCGGGGCCGCAACCAACCTAGAGCGCTGTAGCAAAGTAAACCTAACATGCAACGCCGCAGCCGCCTGCACCCGCTTAACATGACCAGTGGCCTGGGTGAAAGGGAGCACGTACAGACGACACCCGTCGCACGACTCAGGGTCAAAAGAACCAACGACCCAACAGGCAGTAAGGCGGAGGCAAAACAGGTGAGTGTCACCCTGCGACAAGGGGACAGATCAACCGTCAAACCCGCTAAACGCGAGGGGGGACTCAGGGGTCACATCCATAGGACCACGGGGCCCCTGTGGGGTTTACCAGGGCCCTTAGCCATGGTTACACTCCAAGGGAAGCTCAGGCAGAGTACAGTACAACCTCGATTCAACGTACCCCGATTCAACGAATCTCTAGCTAGTTTGCACACTTTTCAGGCCGGATTTACTCACCCGGTTCAGCGAACAATGGTTCGCCGAAGCGGGGGATGTTCGGATTTGCTTACGATGTCCAGACAGAGTTTACAGACTGGCGGAAAACTTTCCCCATTCTATCGCAGATTATAATTAATTCCCTCATATGACAAGTTCGATCATACAAGTGGACCACAAAAGTAGACCGCACAAGTGGACCGCACAAGAGGTCCACAAACTTACAATGTTGGGACAGAGTTCACAGAGTGGTGGAAAACTTTCTCATTCTATCACAGATTACAATTAATAGTTCCCCCATATGACAAGTTCGATCACACAAGTGGAACACACAAGTGGACCGCACAAGTGGACCTGTAAATTTGTAGACCTCATCCTGGAAACATTCTTGTATCAACATGTTAAACAAGCTACGAGGATGAGAGAAGGGGACGTTCCCTAAATGCTAGATTTGATATTTACCAGGAAGGAGGAAGAAATATTTGACATTCAGTACCTTCCTCCCTTGGGTAAAAGTGACCATGTCTTTTTGGGAATAAAGTATGCAATGCGTTATAATCTGGAAGAAAATATGACGGTCGATGCAAATGAAAAAACTGACTTTAGGAGAGGACATTATGGCAACCTTAGACAATTTTTTAGTGAGTATAATTGGACAGACTTGTTGTTAGGCAAGGAAGTGAATGAGATGTATGTCAGGTTTTGTGAAATATATGATAAAGGCACAAAAAAATTTATACCAAAACAGAGAAGCAGAACTAGGAAACAGAATTGGTTCAACTGAAAGTGCGAGAGGGCCAGAGACCAAAAGACACAAAAATGGAATCAATACAGGAAGAGGCCGAACCCCCAAACATACCAGCGATACAAAGATGTGAGAAACAACTACACGGCAGTGAGGAGAGAGGCAGAAAGAAATTTTGAAAAAGGGATTGCAGACAAATGTATAACAGAACCAGGTCCATTCTATAAATTCATAAACAACAAATTGCAGGTAAAGGATAATATTCAGAGGTTGAAAATGGGAAATAGATTCACGGAAAATGAAAAGGAAATGTGTGAAACATTAAACGAAAAGTTCCAAAGTGTGTTTGTACAAAATGAAATCTTCAGGGAACCAGATACAATAAGAATTCCAGAGAACAACATAGAGCACATAGAGGTGTCTAGAGACGAAGTGGAACAAATACTCAAGGAGCTAAATAAGAACAAAGCAGTTGGTCCAGATGGAGTTTCACCATGGGTTCTGAGAGAATGTGCACCTGAGCTCAGCATTCCACTTCAACTGATTTTTCAGGCATCCCTGTTTACAAGAGTTGTAGCCGATGTGTGGAAAATGGCTAACATAGTTCCAATCTACAAAAGTGGAAGCAGGGATGACCCCCTTAATTATAGACTGGAATCATTGACAAGTGTAATACAGAGCACCACTTGGTTTCCGAACTTTAGTTATCCGAAACTTCCAGTTTCCCGATTGGGGTTGGGGAGTCATGCTACCCGAACTTGCCCACTGTGACTTCACAGATTCACGGCCTATTATTCCTATTATTTTGAATTGTCATAAGGCTGGAATGTTCATTCTGTGCTTTTGTTTTACATATCTGCACAATCAAGAAACATCTGTGCACCATGTTGGCTCCAAATGCACGCATTGCGTCAGTGATGGCTGACTGGTGGGTGGATGGACGATGGAGCTGAGGTGGGAGGCAGTATGAATGAGGGGTGGGGGGGAGAATCAGTGAGAGAGGGGGGGAGAGAGATGCTAGGAGGGAGGGGGAGGTAGGGAGAGATGTTAGGAGGTAGGGAGAGATGCTAAGAGGGAGGGGGAGGTAGGGAGAGATGCTAGGAGGTAGGCAGGAAGGGATGGAAGTAGTGAGAATTAGGGAGGGAAAGGCAGGCTGGCAGGCGCAGGCAGGCAGGCTAGCTTGCAGGCAGGCTGGCAGGCAGGGAGTGAGTGAGTGAGTGGTAGTCACGCGGTTGAACCGCGTGACCTTGAGAGATGGGATGTAGGGGGGCGAGTGGTTTGTTGGTGGTGGGGGTGAGACCGGCTCATTCCCGAAGATAAGCCTAACACACACTACCCGTTAGCATTATGGCAGGGAGGGAGGCAGGCTGGGAAGGAGGCAGGCAGGCTGGGAAGGAGGCAGGCTGGCTGGAAAGGAGGCAGGCTGGGAAGGAGGCAGGCAGGCAGGAAGCGATATATGGGTGTTGAAGTGAACCGTGAACCACGTGACCTTTGAGAGTGTGTGTGTGTGTGTGTATGGGTTTGGGGTGGGGGAGGTGTGTCGGTGGTGGGGGAGGGACCGGCTGACTCCGTAAGCCTAACCACACTCCACAGACCTGTGACCCAGATTTGTTTCTTAAATGTACAGTACATCATCGTATATTTTAGGCAGGATGTGCCTGCAGGCTGGCAGGATGTGC